AAATGTGAGTAGGTCTTCTCCTTGGTCAAGGTGTTTGTAGTAATGGTATTGAGATGTGATTAGATCTTCTCATTGATCAAGGTGTTTGTAAAATAGGTATTAAGATGTGATTCGATATTCTCATTGGTCAAGGTGTTTGAAATAATGGGATTTAAATTTTCATAAGGTCTTTTCATTGGTCAAGCTGTTTGCAATAATGATATTGTGATTAGGTCTTTTCATTGGTCACATCATACCCAAGACATGCATCGCCCTCTGGTGAAGGTTTGTACAACATGAAATTTGTGTATTTTGTGGCTGAGGTGTCAAAGGTGAGTTTACAGTTATCAAGTAGTTAGTTTCTTAGCAAACTTTCGTGAGTTGTTTTGAGTTCAGGAATGACCTGACAATAGACTTTTGTCACTTTATGACCAATGTCCAAGAAGATGAAAGGCCGTTTTTCTCCATTAACTGAGTGTCCATTAGGCGTGTGGAGATTACAGGTCTGTCATACGTTGGCCAGGACGGCAGGTCATAAATGGACTAACATTTGTTCTCTGTGTCTCAAACATTCCCCCTCATTACTAGCCCAAGTCAACAATGGCAAAGTGCCCGGCCTAGTGGCCATAAATACATTTTTTCTACCCCCTCACAGGACCCCCTTCTGGGGCTTTGTGGGGATGACCCTGCCCAGGAGGTTATTCGAGTCATGTGACCCCCTGCTCACTGATCACCTGTGAAGAGTTGAGTCACAGCTCTCTGGGATAACTGCATTTGTTCTGGTCCAGTGACTGAGGCAAGGTGCCCTCCTCGTCCTCCCTCCATGCTGCAACCTGGTGATAATTGCCTACCTGGACACAGGAGACGAGTTCAATGGATTGGACAAAGCATCTCTGTCATTATGTTTCAAACACTTGTGAAATTGATTTGGAGATGATACGCAGCTAATTTCCTGTGCAGTGTATCTTGTGTTGGTTGTGTGTACTGTTGCATGTTGATTGTCACCACTTGTGGGATATCAGAAAATAGGGTTTCCTGGATAGCAGTCTGTGACAGAAAATCAAACATTTATTAAATGGATTTGAAAACTATTAACTTTGTATCTGCTGTTGCTTGTGTTTGTTGTGAGTGTTGTTACCCGTAGATTGTTGCGTACGTGCTCCAGGTAGGCCGACTGGGAACACTGGCTCAATAAATGGTAATGTTTCTCTACAACTAACATTAAAAACTTCTGAAATATTGATTTTATGGCGATATATTTTCTGCACCATGGAGTCGTGCTGTGTTGGTTGAGTTGTAAGATAAGGTCGGTTACAACACTGTTGCATTGTGGGGTTGTTTATTTGTCTCCATCTGGATGACACTGTCCTGGTTGTATTGTACATGTAAGCTGGCAGGAGACCTTGGTTCGCTCTGATTCAAACAGCAACATCAACCCGTGGCACAAGTCAAATGAGTCGTCCTTCCTCAGCTCAGTAAATTTCTTACGTCAAGGTGACAACAAAAGCTCAAAGTACCCCATTATAAATCATTTGAAAATTACATTGCTTACGTGAAACGCTTTGAAATGGGTAAGTGGTTTACAAGTGATTCAGATCAGTAGACAGGGATCATTTGAACGCGGTAGTCAACTTGCTCCCCGTGGTAGTCGTCAATTCATACCTGTTCAGCTCTGACGTAGGCCGGTCCGCCTTATCTATCTGTAAGGGGAGATTCATGAATGAATAAAAGATTCGTAGGGTAAGCTAAAGAACTCACCGCAGAAAACAAACATGTTGGCAACATAAGACGATCGCACCTGAATGACTGGTTGGGACGATCTCGACTCCATTCATGGCTGGAATAGGCCACACGTCAGTCGGCAGGCAGACGGGTAGGTCAAACTGGGTGCCTTTCATAGCCATTCAATGCTTGAGGTAGTCGCCCAAACCATGTATGGAGAAAAATCTTCAGAGGGGACTGATTCTGTCTGTAAATGTTATCAAGCACTTACTTTCTTATTTTCTCACAAAAGATAATTTTATCGCGTACAGTTATTATGTAAGAAATTCAGGTGTTATGTAGATAAATGGAATATGTAAACATTTGTAACCTTGTGGTTTTTTTTATCTATTGGTAGAGCAGTAACAAGATGAATGTTTGTTGAAGGCTGAGTTGTCAAGTCAGACAATAGGTTCAAGGGTCTGAGGTGCTCATTGTTTAACATCCACCTTGGGCACGTCAGTGGTCAAGTGTTCAGCTAGATCACCAGGCTGGTAGCTACAGCTAGATCACCAGGCTGGTAGCTAGCCAAGGTGAAAGTCAGGCTGACCACAAGTATGTGCATTTTCATCTACAACCCTGGTTTGGTCTGGGCAGTAATTTATTTGGTCAAAGGACAGGATATTGTCTTCATCAAAGGAAATTGTTGTCTGAGCCAAAGCTTACTTGATGAATACTTGATAACTGCCAGGGTTGAGGAATGGCCATAGTTGTTGCGAACTGATGAGATGTAGTGTTGAAGAATGTCTTGTTTTTAACAGAGGTTAGATTTATCTTTGTCAAACACTTTGATGGTTTGAGAGTTGATACATGATTAAGATCTTAATCAATGATCAGTGAGTATTTGTTACAATAATACCTGACAAGGGGATAATCTGGGTTATATCCCACCCACCTGTCCCCACAACCAATCTTGTTGTGTAATGTCTGCTTGTTGAAGAGGTTAGGGCCCTGAGGTCCAGCGTACACCCAGGGTTTTGTTGTGTTGTGTAACAGTAATCCATGCTGACACAAATGATTGCGAACACTTTAGCTAATTACAATATTGGATAGAATTTAGATCTTACTGTAGCAGGACATCTGTCGGAGGTCGCCCACTGGACAAATCAGATCAGATGGGGACATTTATGCTTTGAATAGGGGACATTTACATTTTGAATAGGGGACATTTACATTTTGAATAGGGGACATTTACACTTTCAATAGGGTACATTTACACTTTCAATAGGGTACATTTACACTTTCAATAGTCTTAGGGGCAGTTGGGTAGCCTAGTGGTTAAAGCATTTGCTCGTCACGCCAAAGACCCGGGTTCAATTACTCCCATGGGTACTATGTGTGGATATTGGTGGAATATTGCTAAAAGCAGCGTAAAACCATACTCACTCACTCGTTCAATGGTCTTAATTATGGTCGCTTAATTTTGTCTCATATTTTTAATTTTCTTAATCTTTTTTTAAGAAATAAAAATACCAGCATCAATGAAATACTTGCCATTTATTGTGTATTACAAAAATATGCTCTACAAGTTTTATTGCTTGGAAAGACGTGTAAGGCCTGATGGAATGATTCAGACAATGTATGTTTGAGAGTGAATGTGTGTGCCAGTGCATATTTATTCAAGTGAAAGTTAATGACTAAGTGAATGTGTGCGTGAAAGCATTGTGTGGTAACACTGAGAGAAAGTAAGTGCATGTGTACATCCGTGAGCAGTCCTCCACCATGTAGGTGGTCAACATGGCAGCCAGCTGACTGCAGGACTTGACTGTGTTATCACACAGATGAGGTAGCTTGGCCAGCCAGGTAGAAGCAGGTGGCCAGTGAGGCATGAAGCACACCTGTACAGGTAGAAGCAAAGTCCCAAGATCAAAGGTGTTTTTACCTGGGGTCAGAGGGCATCATACAGGCCTGGAGAGTGACTGGGTGGTGCTGTGGAGAAGAAAATAGGGTTTACAGATGCATATAAACCACTTAATGAATCTGATTCAGTCTTCAGGGTGGCCTTAAGGGTGTCGTTCAGGTGGGCTTGTCCGATTCTTTCCAGAAAATAATTTCCCAGCTTCTGGGATCGTTGTGTCACTGGTGCAACAGTAAGCTTGTATTATATTGAAAGTATATTTATAGCAGTAATATAGTGATTTACATTTAGATATGAAAGTAACATTTCAAGGTGTCCCCTTTGAGCACCGACTCCTCTCCTCCCATCTCCTCCTGTCACCCCATCTTCTACTGTACCCCCTTTTGTCCGAGGGCTGGTAATAGTGAGAGGAGGGTGACACACTCAAAGTGATGAATGGATCTAGGGCTGTTGAAAAATTGTTACAAATCCACCCAGCCATTATGATCCACCCTGAATTTGAATTGACACGAGTCGGCAGTGGAACATAGCTTTTGTTCCTTAAACAGCTGGAATATTTTAGGAGAACAGTTTTTGTAATGTTATTTTGGAATTAGCAGATGTTTTAAAAAGGGTATTTGATAATGAAGACCTGATTTCAGTAATCGTTACCCTTAGAGTTCTGAAAGCAAACATGTGGTCTTGTTTGTAGTGGAAAGTGTAGGAAATTTGAGAAAAGTTGTACACCTGTTGACCATTTTGACACATCGCTGTGAAGGCTGGATTGCTTTGATGTTTTGTTACTTGTACTTGTGAGGAGTTAGTTGTTAGTGGATATAAAAGCCTGTTTCTGTGTGGCATGCTCCTCTCTGTATACAAGGGGTGGAAACCTGTCATGTTTCCACCACTAACAACTCATTGCTTTTACAGTTGACAGTCTCGAGTCAATGTTAGCGATATGAATTCGTTGTGAGCATGTGAATATCTAGCTCACGCCAGCAGGGTACACAAGACTAGGATCTAGGGTTGTATGTTTCACGTTCTGCCTTGTACACACCTATAACAGGGCTTTGTGATATTATACTGGGGAAAGCACTGCGAATCAGTTGTGGGGAATATTGTATCACTACATCAAAGGAAAGATTAACCTAGAAAAGCCTGGAGCAAGAATGACGTATGTGATCCCCGATCCTATCGCGGCTGAATGTATTCCGTATTGTACTCTTGCATCCAACACAGGATCTTTCTAATTTGTAGAAAACATACAAGTATTTACCAAGTGATACAAAGGTCCTTTGAAGTGTGAATAATTAGGAAAAATGTCTATTGAGTAAATATTTCTTAGATGCTATTCACAAATTTTAGATGAATATCATGTCTATATAGCCAAATGTGATCATTAAATTTTGCTTTTCTTTTTCAGGATGACTTTGACAGTCTGCGGCCGCTGTGTTACCCCAACACAGACGTTTTTCTCCTGTGCTTCAGTGTCGTGTCTCCTACATCCTTCCATAACATAATGGAGAAATGGGTGCCGGAAGTGAGGAAACATTGCCCTAAGGCTCCTGTCATCTTGGTGGGCACCCAGTGTGATTTGCGTAATGACGTTAAGGTACTCATTGAGCTGGCCCGATATAAGGAACAACCAGTACCAGAGAGTGATGCGATTCGATTGGCTGAGGAGATTGGTGCCGTGCATTACATGGAATGTTCCGCCCTCACACAAAAGAATCTGAAGGAAGTCTTCGACAGTGCAATTCTGTCAGCTCTGAAGATTACCGGAATCGTTTCTCGAAAACACAGCACCAGAAAGTCAAAGCGAAACAAGAACTACGAGACGAACACTCAATCAATTCAGAGTACAAGTGCCAAGAAGAAAGGAGGGTGGAAAAAATTCTGTTGTTTCTTAGGATGAAAACTTTGGAATCAAGATGGCTTCCAACGGACAGGCAGATCAAGGGGGCTTCCATCAAGGGTGTCGATCTTTAATACCATCATGCTTTCAGGGAAATACTGTTTCCCCAACAAAACATTCATCTCAAAATGCAATAGGTGTGATGGGGAACTGCAATGGCTGTTGTCCTGAGCGACTAGAACAGCGGGTAACATGTAACGAAAGATGTGCGGACATGATGCAGATGTGTTATGAACATGTTATGAAAGTTAAATTTGACTGACTGAGTGAGAACGTGACAATTTGGTCACCGTATGTACAGAACTTTGCTCAATCGTGAGTTGAACTCACATCCTCCTGCATGACAACCTTGGAAACATCTACAGGCCATTCCGGAGGTGCCTGTTTCCATGGATACTATTGCCATGGCGTCATGTAGGACAAGGACAATTTTGTCTAAACCTGGTCGATCTGTGATAATGTAGTTGTTATGATGTGACGCTGTCAATGGCGATGTTGTGACGTGCAAGTGCTGGAACAGATGCCGTCTGAGATGAACAGTTGTATCCGTAGCATGACAAACCTGTCTCTCCCAAATCAGTGTTTTACCAACAGACCTAATTCGTTTCATTGTTTTAATTTTTTCCTTTTTGTGGGCAGTATCCAGAGCAGATGTAGCTGCCTGTTACCATGGTTACGTATTTGAATGTGTGTGCAAATCAAAAGTTGTCTTCAAATATTTGGGATGGTGAAAAGGGCTGTTGCCAAAATGTCGTGGTTTTAACGAAATTTGGATTGAGGATGAGACAACTTTCAAATTATTTTAGTTTTTATTTTTCATTTTTTGCTTCCTGCTCAAGATTTGTTTGTTTGATGTTTTGCTTTTTTTGGCTTAATAAAAGTACCAGAGCTTGTTTCATTTGGGAGAGATGTGATCTATGCAATGCTAGGTCGTTCTGTAGATGCTGAACCTGTGATGTTGGTAGAGGAAATATGCCCCTCTCACTAGAATCTTTAAGTTATTCTCATTTTCAATGTTCATTTGTGCCTTGCTTTATACTGAGTGTATCTACACCCAACACAACCAGAATATCCCAAATTGTTTTGATTTCAAATGAAGGATCTTGAACAATCTCATTCTCAGTGTGGGTAAATATGATTCATTATATTTTCTGGAAATTTTCAAGATGAGTGGGAATTGTGAGGCTTTGTTCTTCTGGACTGTATTGTATATTTTGTTGGTTCGGGGCAAGTCGTCGCTTTATTACCAAGATCTGTTTAAGGTTCACAGGAAAGTCTTCCAAGGGCTCTCCAGGAGAGGGTCTGATGATAGCATTAAAACATTGTCTATCTTTCATATGTATTTTAGTCCTCGAAGAGGCACAGTGCACACCTGAATTGAAAATGTTGACTCACATGAATATGTCAATAAATTTTTATATATAAATGATGTATGTGTTTGTTATTTCATGGCTTGGATCGAGAAGGAAGACAAAGGGGACCTAGATATGGTGTACAAACATGTAGGAAAATCGGTGAGATGAAATGGGGTTTTACATGGCATTGAACATTATTGTATTTATATAGCAATCGGTTTGGACTAATGCTGATTTTATAGAGCTGGCCCACTGAGATGCCATGTCACACATTAACATGGATACCCCTCTGAGACACAGTACATTGACTCCGACCAGGCCCTGGTTTGTCACATTAATGCCAAGCACCTACCAGTAACAAGAACTGCCATGTTTGGTCTTTTGGTATCCAGGGATTGAACCATGAACGATCTGCCCTCCTGGCAGAGGATCGGTCTGCTAGACCTCCCATGTGGTCTCCAGCTAGTGTTGTGTCAACTGGACCTTGAAGGGTGTTCTGTTGGCAACGAAACAGGAACTCAAAGGGTTATTGGCTGCAGTCAACATCCATGGTGATCAGGAAGCATTAGGACGTCAGGCAGACGTCTTTAGTCTTCTTTGAAAATATATGACTTTGACAGAAATAAATAACGTCATTTAAAATGATAAGGAGTGCCATTGAGGTGAGTAATTCTGAACACAAGGAAAATCTAGACTTGCGTCATTTTAGGCTTTGGCATTACAGAATGGCCTTGGGGAACGAAAATGATGTCTCTCAAAGGCTCACTGTCTACTGAAGTGGCAGAAAATGCGATTTGGTTTGATAGATATACATTGGGGACTGCTGGTTAAAGTTGCCAACGTATTCAGATTATTAAAAAGTGCAGAAATGTTTCCCTAACCTGTAGAGGTACTGTCCAGGCAACCCCAACATAAACCTACGTGAATTCATGGAAACTGGCTGAAGGCGAAGAGCGTCTTAACATATGCTGACACTCATTTTTCTGTTATGAAAATGATCCATCTTAGAAGACCAAGTGTAGTAGACTATAAACAGGTTGGAGTTATTTGGTATTCAAATATGCACTGAGAGATTCTCACACACTGTCACCCCGGTTGTGGAAAGAGTCGACCATCGCTGATCGGTACTTGAGGGCCACGTCAGACATGGTTTTGATGAGTGTGAGTTATGCTAATCTCGGGAGGATTGGGGTTAACAGGTGGAAATGGGGTTTCTCTGTCAGCTGATCCACTTGCTGTTGGAGTTGTTATCACAGAGGTCGTTGTCTTATCAACACGGGCTCTCATTACTCCGGCAACACTACTCCCGTAATCAACATTGCCCCTGACGATTCCCATCTGGCTGGTTGTAACTGGCAGAGAACGCATCCTCTGTGTTACGGCCATTGCATTGAACATGTCGGAACTACTCAACAGTTTCAACTCCAAACGAGCTTGAAAGGCAGCTGTGGTGTTAAGAGTGACTGAGACCCATATTAAACACCCACGCACACGAATTTGTCGCATTACCTCGTCTGACAAAGGTCAAGAGAGCTTATGTCAGAGCCTGCTCGTCAGTTGTCTGACTTCCATCGTTAATGGTGGACATCTCAGAAACAACTGAACCAGCAATTTCGCAGACTTTTTCACTCCTACGTAGACTAACGCTTAGTCTATGAACATATGTAATTTTGATAGTAACAAATAAACCCATTGAAATTGAAAAGGAGCCCCAGGGAGACCCATATAGGGTTTTAGCATTGCAGGGAGGGCTAGGTAGTAGGGGAAATAATGTCCTTCAGGGAGTGTGAGACATACTAACTCCTGACATGACACCCGAATTGTTCAGGAGGATCGAATCGGCATGGAGAAACTGGCCAAAACCCTATCGAAAATCATGGTCCGTCTCCATGGTCTAGTGGAGGGAGCGTCTGACTGGAGAGCGGAAGGTCGATAGTTCGATTCCCAGCTGCGTCACCAAACTTATGGCAGTCATTATAAGATTGCGGCAGGATACCTCTGTCGTAAGTAATACAAGTATTCACACACACACACACACACACACACGCGCGCGCATATACACATGCACACATGTAAAATAAATGCAGCAGTCTTGAAGGCGACCTTAAGCCGCATTTTACCACCCCTTTCCATAATCACCACAAATCTCTGTTGACAGCAGAGTCCGCTGAGCACAACACTACCCAGACAGAGCATTATATCTGTTACGATATGTACGTATCATAATAAGAGGGAGATTTACCACAATGTATACTCAACAATGAGCATGTGGTATGTGTATAGTATCTTCTGCTAGTGCATGGAAGTGGCTAGCCTCAGTCTTGTGTACGTCCGGACAAAAGCTTGTTTTCGCTTTAGACCGCAGTCACCAATATTCAAGCTATACATGATGGCTTCCTGTAAATAATTATTTGGTTTGGTTACCCGTGAAGGTCCGGGTTAGAATATTGATCTTCAGTAATCCATGCTTGTCGTAAGAGGCGACCAACGGGATCGGGTGGTCAGGCTCGCTGACTTGGTTGACACAGGTCATCGGTTCCCAGTTGCGCAGATCAATGCTCATGCTGTAAATCACTGGATTGTCTGGTCCAGACTCGATTATTTACAGACCGCCGCCATATAGCTGGAATATTTCTGAGTGCGGCGTAAAACTAAACTCACTATTTGGTTTGGTTTGTTGTTTAACGCAATCAGCAGTATTCCACCCGATCCTGTTAGTCGCCTGTTACGACAAGCATGGGTTACTGAAGACCAATTCTAACCCTGATGTTCACGGGTGCGTGGCTGACATTTTGGTGGCAACTGAGGTTTTGATAACAAAGCCAGACAAACACAAAACGAAAAATAATATTCTGTCAAACTTTACATATTCATTCATTCATTCATTCATTCATTTATTCATCATTTGAAGGCATGGGGGAAGGGAGAAGTGCGCACACCCGCTTACGTCGTTGCACCCAGTAATAGACAGCATTGCAACGACCCACAGCCTGGGGAATGATGACACTTTTTCAGTAAAGTGGACAGTGTTCGCAGATTCTTAAACTTTTGGGTATCTCGCATTCCCTTTTCAACGGAATCCTCTCCGGGCGACAGTTTTAATGTTTAATACTGGAACTCACAGATCACAAACATCATTGCTAGTTTGTCTCACAGCCCTAGAACAATATTAATTCCCTTCCGCCCAGTCCTTTCCGTCCAGTCCTTTCCGTAAAGCAAAAAGCTCTGAATGATGCAAGTCTAGACTTTCTCAGCTGAATCTCTCATCTCGCTGAGGCTCCTTTTCAATTTAAATGGAGGTATGTGTTGCATACAAAAATATGGTTGTTTTCAGAGACTAAGATTCTGTATATCATTGCAGGCGGAATCCGTTTGAATATGGTAACAATATGGCTGTATGTACCATGGGTGATGTGTACTGGCTCTTGGTATCGATGTCCTGACCCGCTTGAATTCAATGTAAAAATAGCCGATTAATGTACTAAGCTATATTCCCAGAGGCAGTTATTTCAGTGTAAGGATGCTAAGGGAATCTACATCCAGCTGAGGACGATGTTCTATGGACATGGCTCGCTACCATCCGATCACTACCAGCCGTTCAACGTAGGGAAATAGTGTAACAGGAAAATATTGTCTTTCTTACACATGTACATACATGCCTGGCACAACTTCATGTCTGCATGTGGCTAGGTCCTAGGGCTGCGCAATATAACCGGTTTACCGGTATTTTCCGGTTCAGACATTGAAACGATACGTATTGCGATACGCTGATCGAAAACCGGTATTTTGACATGCATTCGGAAAACTTCGTAACACTCGGAAATCTTCGGATGTTTCCGTTTTTTTAAATTGTTCCGTTCCTTGATTTTTGTGCCAAACATTATTTGCATTTTTATTTTGTCATGATTAAAAGTTTTTATTATAGCCTTATCAAGTACAGTGATTTTGTTGTGTTTTTGCTTTATAAATCAAGCATTAACTCGATTATAAGTATTTTTTTTGTTAAAAAAACTTCTTGCAATATATTGCAATACACATCGCAATATATGCTTTCACATCACAATATATCGCAATATGAAAATTCTCCACAATACCCACCCCTACTAGGTCCACACCTGGGCTGGGTGTAGACACCAGGGTGCGGTTAGGTTCGCACCTGGTCTGGGTGAAGACACCTGGGTCTATCTTGCATGTACGAAGGGTAGATGAAACGTTCTAAGCGAAGGAACTATCAAGGGACCTCACAATGTCCGTGTTCCTTGATGGGATTCGAACCACGGACCTTCTGATTCGAGGTCAAAAGCCTTGTTAACCCCTTCACTGCCCTCATGCCTGCTCGTATACCCATAACGGTTTGCATTATTAACTGAGTGAATGATTATGGTTTTACCCCAATTTTAGCAATATCCAACATCTTGGTGGGGACACCAGCAATGTGCTTCACGCATTGTACCATGTTGGGAATCGAACCAGGTTCTTCAGCCTGACGATCGGACGCTTTAGCCATTAGGCTACCCCACCGTCCCCAGTGATAAGTACAATACCTTCCATGCTTACAGGCTGCATTTGGAACCTTACACACAGCCGGGCGGTGGGGTAGCCTAGTGGTTAAAGCGTTGGCTCGTCACGCCGAAGACCCGGGTTCGAATCCCCACATGGGTACAATGTGTGAAGCCCATTTCTGGTGTCCCCCGCCGTGATGTTGCTGGAATACTGCTAACAGCGGCGTAAAACCAAATTCAGTCAGTCAGTTATACACAGCCAGGCAGCATATATCTGCAGGACCAAGTTAGGTATTCTCTGGTGACAAAACTGGTCACAACGCTGTCATCAAGAGTCTCCAGCTTGAGGAGCCAAATCACACTTATAATGAGGCGGAGATTAACTGTAGGGATATGCAGTATCTTTCACTTTTAAAAATGTGACGCGGAGTTCAAGAAGATGACCACTGAAGATGACCCAGGGTAAAAATAATCTTCCACTGCCACAACGTAAGGAAATAATTATATAATATTTAATAAATACAAAGATTATGAATGTCACCACTCGTCACAAAGCCACATCAGAGGGCATT